ATTCTTTTTTTTTTTTTTTTTGTATGTTGGTGAACTTGACTGCAATTCATTGCTCAAGGGAAACCATTGGTTGTGGAATTCTGTAGTGATAATTAAATATAATTTACTTGGATTTATATGCCTTGTATATTCATGATTCAAGAAAAGAATAAAATCAAATCACGACTAAACTGTTGTAGTTTAGGCTATAGTATAATGTCATCATTCAAATGTATATAACCTCCGCCGAATAGATGTTTGACCAAAGAATGTCAAATCGGCGAATCTAACATGTATGATTCACGTGAATTCAATAGCTTTTGTCTAAACCTTTTTTATGTATTAAGAATTCGTTAAATTGAATTCGTGTCTGATTAAGTGAGATTCTTGCTTTTCTCGTGAATTATTAAGGACATTCGTAACGGAAGGAAATGGTAAAAAGGGGGTCAGTTTGACTTGACCCAAGACTCTTTCTTAATTTGACAAAAAATATGTAATGATTAGAAACTTGAATTAGTAAATTGCATGGCATCAGTGTACACGAGGCAGAATCATTCAAAGATACTTTTGTGAGTATTATATAAGTTAGTTTTGTATGCACTCTATTCTTCAGAGAACATTTAATCAAATAGTTTTAAGTTATAAATATATATATTATCCATGAGAATCTTGAGAAAGATTTGTTGCATCACTCCCGAATTTTATATTACTAGACTTATTCTAACTTCTTGCAGAATCTGCAGATGGTCAATAAGTATTGTTTAGATATATAAAAAAAAAAGTCAAAAGTAATCTGCATTGGATTATGCTACACTTTGAAGGAGTGTCTACCTTTATTCGGAAACTTAATATGCATGACTATTTTTATAGACATTTTAATTGAATCTGTGAAAAAAAAAGTACAAGGCATAAGTACCCCTAAACTATGACCGAAGTCTCTGAGATACACCTTAACTAAACTAAAGTCCTATTACCTCTTCAAACTCTTTTTTTTTTTTTGGAATTTTATACACCTTTTGACTTACGTGGCACACTCCATGATTCCACATAGTTGAGGCACATGGAAGATGTTTGGATGCCACGTAAGTCAAAAAGGTGTATAAAATTACAAAAAAAATGGATTTGAGGGGGTAATAGGACCATAGTTTAATTAACGTGTGCCTCTAGGATTTCAATTATAGTCTAGGGGTACTTGTGCCTTATCTCAAAAAAAAAAAAATTCTTGTATGGAAAAAAATAGGAAGTTATCCAGTATTTCAACAAAAATTTTATGGTGTGTTTTCCAATGAGATGGTTCAACAGAAAATGAATGAAACAATTATATTTTATAACACAATTTATATTGATTCGTGATAGAAAAATCATTTGTTTCTAGTAGTGTATCATCACAATTGCATTCGACTGAATTTCATCTTTAATTTTCGTGCATTTTATAATTATAAACTCATTAGAAATAATACGATTTTTTAAAATTCTTTTTTACATAAGACACTTTTCAAGATTCATCGTCAATTCAATTTTGCAAACTTATTATATCCCATGACAATAGGGACGGTGGGACTAGTGATGCAAACTTAGAATTGTCGAAGAGTAGAATACTAGAAGCCTAAAACCAATTCTAAGAGAGTATAGAAATTTTGTAATATATAGAAAACTTTTGTTAAAGAAAATTTTATACAACTTGAATTTTAAAGTTTATGATTTGTTTAAGGGAAAATGCATAAGTACCCCTCAGCCTATGCCCAAAATCTCTGAGACACACCTAACCTTTATTAAGGTCCTATTACCCCCAAACTTATTTTTTAATTAATTTTTTACCACTTTTCGGCTTACGTGGCAATATAAACCAAATAGGTTGAAAGTTTTGCTCAACACGCGTCGGGCCTCACTTTTTCAACTTTCTAAAAAGTAGCTTTTACACTTCCCAAAATTTCAAAAAGCTATCCTATTATTTATAATCTACTTTGTTAATATATGTTTAGTTAGTTTATAGATTTTAATGTTTATATATTTTATTTCAAATTTGGGCATGTAAAATTTTGTAAATATTATATATATAATTTTATTTTATTTATAGATAGTTACACTTTTCCAACTTTATCATAATTGTAGGATACTTATAAGACTAGAAGGTACTCTCTAATAGTGCATATAATTATTTTGTTTGTTCAAACATGTTTTTATTTGTATGCAACCTCAATTTTTATATCAATTATGTAGAAACTTTAATAGTGAATAATTTCGATCATTATTATTAATAGAACATAAGAAGAATTATTACTCAAAATCTTTACGTTAATAAAAATATAAATTGTTGTAACTATTATTTATAGATGATTAAAAAAATAAAATTGGGAAGAAAATAGTAAGTAAAAATTACACGTTATATTAAATTATCTTTACATTAATAAAAAAAGAAATTGTTGTTAGTATTATTTGTAATATAATTAAACAAAAATAACAATGGGAAGAAAATAATAAGTAAAGATTACACGTTGTATTAAAATAATAAGTATTAAAAATTATGATAAATTTTATAATAGTCATAACAGGAATTTACGCAATAATTACTATATTAGAATACTAGAAAAATTGATAAGTTCCTCGACATCTAATCATTGATTAAAATTTAAATTATTATTTTCTTCTGCGAAAGTTTAAGAGATTAAATTAATGTTTTAAAAAATAATATAACAAACTAATTAATTAATTATTTTCAATGATTAATAAGAAAATGTATATAGCAAGTACATGTATTATTATTACATTATTTATATCCACTCTATATTAAATCATTTTTCTATTATAGTTTGACGCAAATTTCAGAATGTAAAGAATGTTTTGGATTCGAAAAATAAATATTCAAAATATACTAACATGTCATTTAATCTGATGATATTTTACATTTCATGTGAAAAAAAATTAAATATTAATTTTTTAATATGAAAAATATTAATTTATTAATACAACATAAAAGTAATAAAGGACAATATATAAAAATATTTGAAGTATTTGATATTTTATTAAATTAAAATAATTTTAAATTAATATATAGCCGCGCAACGCGCGGGTACGTATACTAGTGAAGAACAATAATAAAGAAGAAGACAATTGAGTTAATATTTATTTTTTCCAAGTTTATTTTAACACATGACCAATTTTTATTGGTCAGTGCTGTCTAAAAGCTGCACCCATGCGCCTAACATAGGTGAAATCATGGACTCAGCCACGTAGGCCGAAAAGTGGTAAACAATTAACTAAAAAATAAGTTTGGGGGGGTAATAGGACCTTAGTAAAGGTTAGGTGTGTCTCAGAAATTTTGGGCATAGGCTGGGGGGTACTTATGCATTTTCCCTTTGTTTAATATATTTTTATTCAATAATTATTTTAAAATTAGTTATTGATTTATTTAAATTTCTTTATATAAAGTTCGAATTAAGAATTTGATGCAATTCAATAGTGATCTATCAGAAATAAGATTTAGGAGCTTCTGGAATCCCTCAAACATATTCCTCCTATTATTTATCCCAACTCCACCCATAATTAATACAATATAAGAACTAAAAAGATTAGATTTGTCCTTAATACTCTAAAAAAAAGGTTATATTTACTCAACACTAAAATTTTCAATATACTTATTTTTATCATCCATCTTTTATGTCATATTTACCTTGGATCCGTTAAATTGCCATGTCCCCACCTTAATTCTCCTCCTTGTCTTAGTCACCATCACCTAGCCTAATGAGCTGATATAGTTGTCATAATATATAAATATGTCATTTAATTAGGCATCAATGTACGCCCTTTAATAAATAAATACATTTTTCCTATGTAATGTTTTACATTATAGTTTTGTGTCCTATATGGCGTCCTACATATATTAGGTCGCATAAAACATACATCTTTACTATTTAATTTTATACAAATTTAAACACATATTTGTGAGTAGAAGAATATAGATGTCTAAAGCTAAGTTACCGGGGGCATATTCATGTATTATGCAGATATAATTTGAGAGTTCATATCCCTGTTTCTTGGGATACATTGACAGCTTCTTTCATCTTATTGAAGCTCTGCTGCATTATTCTCAAGCAAATTCCTAAGAGTTGCAGGATCTTGTAAGGAAAAATGTGTTGAATACAGACTGTTTGGTTCTAGGAAAATGCGAAAATTTGTAGGAGAAATGTCCATGGAATTCACGACAAGAGGGAGATTAGGTCAACCAGTACGCTTCTCTGGTTCGACGGTTTCAAATCACAGCAATCCTCTGTATAATTATGGTTCAGATTTTAGGGGTTTTCTCTTACAAAGCCATTTTAGCCTTCCAATCACAAAAAATATCATCTTGGCTGACTAGTAACAAGTCACTTGTGTTCTGTGGAAATTTACAAAAGATCACCTTCATGCTGGAGACATACTGACGATGGAGATGATCACATTGTCCCGGCCCGGCCCGTATGATCACATTGTCCCGGCCCGGATCGTGTGTCTCTTAGCCAAATGCTGTGGGAGAGAATGGGATTAATACCGTAAGTATTTTGTGTATTTATACTGCTTCTATCAGTTCATATTTCATAGAAATGCTAGTGTTAATGAAATTGCAAATTATCTTATGTATTGTTTGGTAAGTAGTTTCAGGCTATCCAATTTAGTGATCATTTCTTTCTGGGTTATCTGTTAACAAGATCTCTTTAAGCATTCAAGTTTCTGTTTCATTAAAAGCATAATCATATATGGTAAGTTAGGTGCACATTGCGGTTCGAACCCTAGCTACCAAATAGAAAAATCCTATTATTTAAATGGAGACGGATAGAGGGGCAGGGCTATCCTTAAATCTGTTAAAGTTCTACGTACTAGCCCAACTATTTGTGCCTGTGAAGAAAAGATGTGACAATTCCACTATAGATTTCAGCACTACCATTTAGTTTGTTACAACATTTTGCAGAAATTGGGTTAGGATCTTCTTGAGTCGCAGAGTAATATCTTCCATGCAAATTCTCTCTTCAGGAAAATCGTTTGTGCATTCAAGAGCTAATTCCATGATTGATTTGAAGCATCTTTCTTTAGAAGTAAAATTTTCTTCGTCCAGTGAAAATAGATTAATGTCTACTACATCCACCAATCGGTCTGGTAATGATTGGCATATCCATCTTTTCAAGGTGAAGTCTCCAACAAATAGATCATCCACGGGGCTCTTTCTTGTAAAAGTCTCCATTAACAAAATACCAAAGCTATAAACATCTCCCTTCGTTGATACTTTGCCTTCTGACCCATACTCTACAAAAAAAAATAATCACGCCATCATTAATGAAAATAATTAACGTCATTTAAAATCTTCAAATGAACTTGATAATAACATTTACCTGGTGCCATGTAGCCGATAGTACCCAAAGTCTTGGTATGTGCTATTAGCGTCTCAGCTGTTAGAAGTTTGGATATCCCAAAGTCACTCACTTTTGCCACCATATCTCCATCCAAAAGTATGTTACTTGGTTTCAAATCACAATGGATGACTACAAACAAATGACCTCCATGTAAATACTCCACAGCAGAAGCCACATCAATCATCACCTTTAGTCTTTGAGTTATATCCAAAAATTTGTCAGTAGAGTGAAGCCAACATTCGAGGTTTTCATTGGGCATGTACTCTAGCACCAACACTTTATAATCAAAATTGGCACAACTACTTATCACCTTAACAAGGTTTCTGTGTCGAATGCTACGTAAAACTTGACACTCCACCTCGAAACTTCTAAATGCATGTTGCAGTTCTGTATTGAATACCTTTATTGCCACAACCATTCCATCTGCTAGTGTCCCTTTGTACACCAAACCAAGGCTCCCCCTTCCAATCAAGTTTGCTTCATCAAAGTTGTTTGTCCCTTGAGAAATATCATAGTACGAAATCCTCTTATGTACCTGACCAAATGTATCAACTAGAGGAAGTTCCGTACTCCTTTTTCGGCATTTCAGAAACCAAATGATGAAAATGGTTGTGACTACAACTCCTGAGGAAACTGATGCAAGGACAGAAGTTAAGACTCTACTCTTTCTTTTACTTTCAAGACTTGTGACTCTGCATTGCATCACATGGAAGCGTGATGATCCACATAATGCAGGGTTACCCATGAATGATTCAGCTGTAAAATTTACGAATGGCCCTCCATCTGGAATTTCACCCATGAGCCCATTGAACGAGACATTGAAATACATGAGATGTTCAAGATTCCTCAAGGACTTGGGGATCATGCCTGTTAGATTGTTGCTAGATAGATCCAAATATTCCAATGAAACCAAATCTTCAAATAGTTCAGGTATGGAACCATCTAACATATTCTTTGACAATGAAAGGCTAACCAAACTTTGTAGTTGGCCAATTGTGCTAGGAATCTGACCAGAGAACTGATTACCATGTAAATGTAATATCCGCGAACCCCTTGAATTCCCCATTTCTACTGCAAGAGACCCATTCAGTAAATTGGAGGACAAAGTGAGAATTGAAATATCTCTGTTCCTCCAAAAAGTTGATGGAATATGGGATATTAGTGCATTGGAATCTAAGTAGAGTTCTCTTAAAGAAGAAATATTTCCAAAGCAACTTGGTAATTCCCCAGAAAGTTGATTTTTGCCCAAGATAACTTGGTACAAGCTTTCCATCTTACACAAGCTAGTTGGTATAATTCCATCTAAATTGTTTTTCTCCAGGCTAAATCTTTTCAAATTCCTCAAGTTCCCCAAATCTGGAGGAATAGATCCTATAAGCTTATTGTCTCCCAATGTTAACCACTCCAAGTTCCTAAAGTTACTGATGTTAGTTGGTATTTTTCCTGTGATACCACTATTGGTGGCAATGAAATATTCAAGGGAAAAGGACCAGTT